CTCATGACCGAGCGCTAATGCTCGAAACGTCAGCTTTGAAATTCTTTCACCAGTTTACATTATCAACTCAGCTGATAAACCCGGATTACCTTGTTATTCCCACCGACACAGCACCAAAGTTTCTTTAGAAAAGCAAGCGTAAAGGCTGCCATGAATCCTTCTCATCTTAAGCTATTATCTCGTTACTCCTTATCTACACATAAACATAATCTCTAATCCACTTCTCTGGATAAAAGCTAAACAAATTTTCCTAAACACTTACCAACTTTACCCGGTATAATGTCGCCTATAGTGTAACAACCCCGAACTTTATCGAGTCGCTTAAGCTTGACTAATGCTTAACTGGCCGCAGTCGTTTTAATTGTTTGAGGGAGGGACACTGATTCTTATATAGAGTGCAGTGGTCAGTAATAAAAGCTGGTTGCGAACAGCCTAGCTATCGCCGCCTAAAAAAGCAATCTCTCTTGTGTGTGTTCGCCTTACAGCTCCTTTTGATTGCTACAATTGCCTAGTTTACCGTCGCACTCGGTAATGGATCATGAGTTATAATGAAAGTCCTAACAGAGCCTCTTTCCATGCATCAGTCAAGGACGCTAGCGAAAACTGAGCACCAGGAATAATGCTAATGCGCCAAGCTTGTAGCTTGCGCTGAACTCTTAAGTGGCGATGGGCTTTAAGTTAAAGGCCGGTCTATTTAAATAGGATTTAGATCTTTACGTTTACTTTACGTTTCCCTAAGATATCGTTGTTTAGTACCGAACACACAAGTGAAGAGTACTTTTCACGCGCGCTGATTGCCTAGTTTGGAAGTAATTAGCAAGTACTGTTCGCTACACCTTGGAGAATAATTGATGACCATTTCTTTGACACCGATACCGGCCATAGTAAATCAAGGCAAGTTGATGAGCTGTGGGTTTTAAGAACTAAGCTGAATACATCGAGTGTTTTTTTAGCAGAAAGTATAGCCGGTGAAATTTGGAAGAGTGCATGACTTCATCAGAGTATAGGCCAGTTTGTAAATAATAATCATTTGTACGTTTTAAAACCTCTCATTTGTTCTTTTCATAGTTGCCATGGTAACTTACGCGATTCATATTACCCGTTCGAGTAATACTAAATCCTTGGTTTATCTCATTCTTTATTATAATCCCTAATAACAAGCTGAGATCAGGACAGTTGAGCTCTTAAGTTTTTGTTTTGGTAAAGCCACATTCGATTTTGACTTCGGGAAAAATGAGCAAAGTAAATATAAAAAAAAAAATGGATGAATTTACAAGAGAGGTCGGCACGGAATACTAAAAAATTTCAGATTTAATAAAAGAAAGAGAGAAAAAGAACCGTTGATTGCCGCCTGAGGGGCGCCGACTTTTCTCTAACGCCAATATGTAGACAAATACGACCTACTGCCGATATAAACAACCATTAACATCACTTTCATTTATTTTAAACTTCAACCTAATCAAGTCGTACATGCTAGGAGTCATTCAGAACATTCGCAATCCGCACTTTCATAAGTACTTAGAATCAACGATATAACAAATTTCACATATATTCACAGCGTTATCCCAGTGTCATTTCGTCGCGAAGGCGCTTTCGCTTTCCCCAATATGAAAAAAATCTTTAAGCTTTAATTGTCGCATGCTCCTGACAGAAGACAATAAAACACTTAAATAAAAAGCCAAGAGCAGAAGAACGATCGCTTGCATGCAAGCGTAATTGCACAAGACACTTGTCACTATAAACCAGAATACTATTTTAAAAACACACATTATCTGTAGGTCTGTATATATTCGCTTTCTTTGAAGCTTGTCCGATTTCCAGTTCACAGCCGATGAACGTAAAGAAATATTCGTTTAAAGGTGCATCACTTAAGATGCACGTACTTTTAAAAGAACATCTACTGAAACGGCTTTTCTTTAATGCATTATGGTGAGGATCGCTACATCTATATATAGATAAGGGCGGATTCCATTTTCAAATTCTGCGTTTACATTTGCATTCAAAACATTCAAAGTAACTGTTTTTCACTCAACGCCATTTGCAATTTTACTGTTTTCTCCTTTTGGATAATTACCAAGAATGTGGTCGGAATTGTCATTTTTCTTTCTAAGAGAAGCAAATGGAAAAAAGGTACTTAAAAAAAAGTTTCTGGTAGCTCTTGGTAATTGCCTTAAGTATCAAACTAAATATATTTGCGTAAGATTTTCATGGGTACTTATCCAAAAGATGAATGACCAGGTATATTTGCTCTTACTGTTCGGTGACAGACACCCTCAATATAGAACTATATCAGTGCTTTAAGCGATTCCTTGCTAATCAATCTATTCTATTCCCTTGTGCCTCATTGCGAAATATGGTGCCGACAAAAAATGCGAGTTTCGATAGAAGTCAACAGGTTAGATGTTTATATCTTTAAGCTTGCCTGCCCACCTCTCTATCGAAAACAAAAAAAATTTTGGACAACGGGTGAATATCAAAAGACTGTAGTGTACGTGTGTAATAAAATATAAACATCGGCCAGGCAAGTCTTGCCAAAGCCGAGAAAAATTAAAAATCACTATCATTAAAAAACCTTTTGTGCAGTGTAAACGAGGCTTTCACGGTTCCTAAATGAGGTTTATTGAAACATCATTTACGCCGTTGAAGAAGCATTTGTCATCGCCAAATACAACGTTTTGCAAACCTTTGAAGTGTGTCACTTTTCCGGCATCGTTTAATGCATTGTCACTTGTTTTTCGAAGAACGGAGAACGCGAAATATCTGTGGTTAGAAACTAATGGAGACAAAATAGAGTTTCGGTTTGCTTTTCAAACGGCAAAATAATGTGGAGGAATATTTTTTGGGTAACTCGCAGTGACTGGATAATTTTAGTTTTGTTTCTGACGAAGGAACGGCAGTAAGCATATGTTTGGTGACACACATCTTCAATATAGGGCTTTATTACAAATATCACGCGGTATTTGTACTGTAGAGTACCGGTTAAACAGGTTTTCTCGCATCTGCAGTTACGAAATAAAAAATGGTGGACAATTTGAATCATATTTCCGACCACGAAGATTCAGGATGGCTGGCAAATATACATCCAAGTTTATTAGGTGAATCTAACGAAGAAAAACAGCTAGACGACCTGGAAAATTTCTTCATTTTTTGAAGGAAAAAGAAACAGCAAGACGGCAACCTGCCAATTCCGTTCCGCTTCGCATACTTCTGTCACGCACTCCCAATAAATAAATATCCGCGAAATTCGCCCGCACTGAAATAACATTTTGGCGTGTTGAAAAATAAATAACTTATTAGACGTTTTGTTGTGTAGTATCGCTGAGTATTTTTACTC